AATACTGGTATATTTTACACATTGAATATAAAATAGTAGTTGATAAAGAATAACATTCAATAAATTATATCATCATGTTCCATTTCATGATTATAACTCAGTGACATTGATTTAAATATGTGGACAGGGTAGCCATGTTATTATTTATCAGCGTCAAAACTCCTCCCTGGTATTAGATTTAGGGTGATAGCTACCTTAGAGTAGTGACAGTGAGGAGATACTAGACTTCAAAGAAATAAAAATATTCCATCTCTTGACTTGAGGGCCAAGTATATGAGTGTTTACTGTGTGAGAATTCAAATATATACATTTCACCTAAATAAATTCTCAAACAATATAAAAAGGCAAAAAGAAAATAACACATTGGTCCTATATTTTCTTAATGGTCCTAAATTTTCTGCATATCTGTATCACCATCTTTAGCCTTTAAAAGGGGGGGTACATGAATGAGAATAGAACATATTTCCCATGTATATATTTACTGCAAACTGTTTAATGTCTCTTAAAGCTGGCTAAAGTAAGTTTATACAAGACAAAGCATAACAAAGAGTCCCAGTTATAGTTCCAGGACCCTGAGTGGTAATAGCAATATGGTTAGAACGTGAAGATATTCCAGATACACTTGTATTATATCACTGTAAGTGATAACAAGACACACATTAAATAGCATTACATCACGTGGTGCAAAAGCTTTTTCATACACCAATTGCAGTATTTCTGATTGAATCAAAAGACATGTTTGAAGTCCCTAACAAGCTAGCTAACATGTCTTTTCAGTGAAGAAATGCCAATTATCAGATCCTGCTCCTGGAATTAAATATGTTTATTTTGCTTTGTTTCCACAGAAACCTCTTATATATAATACAATCATTTTTCAACTGTAATTATCATTGTATAATTTTCTTTTGAAATAATTTTTAAGAAAAATAGTTGGGTACTTCAAAGGCAAATATGAATAAGGTTATAATAGAATTAGTTGCACGATATCTGTTACACACACTTGGTATGTGTTTGAGAGGAAAACATAAAAGGAAGACAATTCTTTCCTTTATGTTCAGTGAGACTTGTAATACTCAATAGTGCTTCCAGTTTGAGCAGGAAGGAGCACTCAAAAGTTCTGCTCAGTACCATACTGGTAATTGAAATTACAGATGAATAGATACACAGAAAAATAGATAAGGAGCTGGGGATTTAGCTCTGCGGCACAGCGCCTGCCCGGCAAGCACAAGGTCGTGAGTTCAATCCCTGGTACCAGAAAACAAAACAAAACAAACAAAACAAAATAAAACAAAACAAAAATAGATGAATCACAAGCCATGCCCCATGCTTTCATATAATCTTTCTTCACATGTTCTTGTCTAGGCTCTGTCATTGAATTTCTTGCTGGAACAAAAAAAAAATATTTTTTTTTCTCTAGGAAAAGGAGAAAAACTGTAAGTCAAAGTCTTTTCTTTCCTGAATACTGCAGGGATCTCAGAGTTGCTTGACCCTTAGAATTGAGACTAAAGCTTCCACTATCATAGGGGACTAGACAAATCTCAGGTCACACACGAGACAGAGAGGTATCTAATGTTCTCAACCACAACTCTCTGCCTCTGAGAATAAAGAAATCTGCTTTAATCAATAATGAAAGTAGACTTTACCTTGAAGATATCAGCTCTGCAACAATACAGTGTAAAAGGTGACTGTGTGTTTTGCTTGGTCATTTTCTGAATGTAGCAGGAGTTGGAGGATAAACGTTTAACTCTTTTGTTATTTATTTAAGTAATAAATCCAAAGGTGAGAACATTGACTCCCTGAAAACTTTCAATTGACCTCCTTGGCTCCTTAAGCTAAAGAAATAGAATGAACAATAGCCAGAATACTGAGTCATCCTGCAGAGGAAGCTTTCAAATACAGTATGTTTGCTTTATTTTCCATTTAGGAGCTGCATGGACTGAAGAAAAACAGATACATGAACATACAGAAAAAAGTTATAGAAAGCTGTCTCTTAGGTTTGTGATATTTTACTACTTATTTAGAGGGAGAAGACTCCAAACCATGAATGCATATATATGAATAACATCCTTACTAGGGCATTAACATCAGAAGATTAATGTGTCACGCTTTTCTTTTGCATTTCTATTTTCAAACATAATGGCTCACTTAAGCACCTTCTGTTTTTACTAGTGTTTTCAAAGTATGAAAATTATAGCTGGATCAGTCTCCCACAGCTATGCACATTTTATGAAATCCAAACGTATTTGAGAACTGTCACCATACTTTTATTGACTAAGGACTATAACCAAAGACTGCGCCCTGATTTGAAATTCTTGAAAAAGAAGTGCTTTGTATAGTTGTAAAATATGTTCAGTGCAAGATCACATTTAACAATCACAACTCTAGGGGCTGGGGATTTAGCTCAGAGGCAAAGCACCTGCCTGGCAAGTGCAAGGTCGTGAGTTTGGTTCCTGGTACCGGAGAAAAACCAAAACCAAAAAAAAAAAAAATCACAACTCTATGAGGTAGATATTATTTCATCTGTTATATGATAAATGAGAAATCTCAGATGCAGGGAGATAATTATTTTTCATCATTGTAATAAAGGCTAAAGCTTCTTGTAAAGCATGGATATGTTTACTTAGAAGACATTTGTGAAAGACACTGTTGGGTGATAGAGGAGAGAGAAAAGGAACACAGAGTGTCAGGATTAAAGGGATATAGTACAGAGAAGAAATGGAAAATCTTTTGTCAAAGTGCAGTATTGTAAACTAAAAAGTGGAGAGTATTATGGAACAAACTATGTTGGCAAAACATGAAATATAGGCAGCCTAATAAGGTTTGGCAATGTGTATTAGGAGGATACTAAAATGTAGATAATTAAAATTCTAAACATAAATGAAGGTTAGTTAGGTAAGGGACTCCCCAGGCCAGTCAAGATGGTAGCATCAGTGCATGGCAAGGAAGAGATTTCTACATGACGACGGAGCCACAGAATCCGGAAGTAGTGCCAGTCACCTGGAGCACAGGGTCCCCGAGTAGAGTGACAACAAACACGTAGCCAGATTTTGAGATGATGCTAAAGAAGTTGGATATTGGTGTGAAGACCAGGCGAAGTCATGAAAATGTTGTTGTAGAAATATTCATTATTAGCATTGTTTAAAAACAAAACGGCAACTTAAGCTACGCTTGCAAGAACAGTTTAGAGGAGGAGTAGCCCTGGTAGGCAGGCTGGTTAGTTCAGGGGACAGAGCATGTTGGGATCTCTGTTATAAGCTGAAGACACTTTGAGAAGAAAAAGGGCATAATGTTGTTAAAGACATCACAGAACCCAGAAGGACTTCAACTTTTTAGGTCTGACAAACTAAGTGGATGTGCAATGTATGAAATGTCCCTGGAGTTCTATTTCCAGTGGGTTGAATTTGAATGTTTAAATGGTGAAGTAGATGTAAATACATAAACCTAGAGGCCCAAAACACACACTGTAATTGATCTATTAGTGTCTACAAAAGCAAGGAAAGAGGATTCTATTTCAGGATTCTATTCATCAAGGAGAACATTGAAAATGGAAACAGAAGATAACTGAGAACAGACTTCTGGGGAATAATCATCCCCAAAGAAATCTGAAGAGTGGATTCTGTGAAAAGTAGAATAAAAAAAATAGACCATTTGGAGTACAATGAAATGTGTGGTCAGGGGGGAAGATTGCAGTAAAGTTATGTACAGTTGGTCCTTGAGGTCCTTGGACTCTGTATTCATGGATTCAGGCAACCTCAGCAGAATGCATTGAAACAGATGACATCTGTGCTGAACATGTACAGAGTTTTATTCTTATTGTTGTTCCCTAAACAATCAATATGGCAACTGTCACAGTTTAACAGGAATAGATGTCATAAGTAATCAAGGTATGAAGTAATGTGTATGGGAGGATGTGTGCCCATTATATGGAAATGCTATGCATTTTGAGGATCTGTTGCTTTTGGAATCCGCAGAGAATCCTGGAGTCCAGCCCTAGGGACACCAAGGGAAGACTCTGAGTTATCTTAGATATGAAAAATGATGAGTACTTCAAGGAGGTGGTTTGAATAGAAGTGGGGTATGAGCTTATTTTAGGTATGAACCACGAATGAAAAAGTCAGGCTATAAACAGAGAAAACAACTCCTCCTTACAACCTGTGTGGGAAGAAGTGAATAAAGTTGGGCAGCACACAAAAGAGACCCAGTGCTACACCCTGGACCCATGCACTTTAACAAATCTCTGTGTTCCACTTTCCCTTTTTTTTTTAATAAGCTATGAAAGCTGTGTTCTTCTGAGCAGATTATTTGGTTAAAAGTTGCTGGTAATGAGGTAAAAGTTCTCCCTGTTTTTCTTGAGCTCTACTTGATTACCTTATCAATGTGTACTTTTTCACTGAATAGCAAAAATGAGAAGCCATGGGCTGCTCATAAACCTCGTTATCATCCTATGTAAACTATAGGTCACAGATCAGTGGTACTATTTGGATGAAAGGATACGGCTTTTAAAAGTGTGCAAGTCTTCAGAGACTGTATACACAAAGATAAAATCTACATTAAATTCCTAGGTTTCTAACCAAGATGTGGCTAAATTGAAACTCTATACATTCTCCCTCTCTGAGTTCAGGCATCACTTCTTCCTGAAGCCTTTTTTTGGTAAAGCCAATGGTGGAAGCCATATCTCTTCCTCTTTCTCATGGTACCCAAGACATATCCATAGAAGAGGCTCAGCCATTCCTTATGGACAAACCAGAAAATTCCCCTCTAGGCTGCTGAATTATGGTTTCTTTGAAGGCACGTGCTTTCAATTGTTGATGCTTCTTTTCTTATACAATTAATTTCCTGGAAATGATTGCTGAAAGCCTGTCATGATTACAAGCCACTACCATATAGCAAAGAATGTGTTAGAAAAGAAATATATAAAATTCTATAAGAAGTCATAGTAGAGAGTATGAGGTAACAATTGAGCTGGGCTTAGAAAAACCAATAAGAGATGATGTGAGGGAGGTTTTTCTTGCAGGTGGAGTAGTAGGAACAAAAGTAGATATTTCATGGGAGCTCTCTGACATGGTATGTGAAAAAAAGGTCAAGAATATTAGTCAGCTTGGACTGCAATAACAAAATACCATAGACTGTGGGGTTTAAATAGCAGGAATTTATTTTCTCGTAGTCATGGATGCTAGAAGTCTAAGATCAGGGTGTCACCAAGGGAGATGCTGATGAGGGCTCTCTGGTGTGCCTTCTTCTGTCTTCAAATGGAGGAGGAGAAGCTATCTTGAGTCTCTTCTGAGATGAGCAGTAAATCAAGAGGGCGCTACCATCATGATCTCTTCTAAGCCCAATTATCTTTAAAAGTCCCTGTCTCCCTCTACTTTAAAATTGGAGTTGAGGGCATTAATATATGAACTTGGCAGAGGCCACAATTCGTACCAGAGAAATCAAAGAATAAGATTAGGAGGAGATACTAGAATCTGACTTTGATAATTTTGATTATCAAAACAAGGATGTGCTCAGTCATGGTCATAGTCACATTTAGGAAGAAATTTATTCTGGTAATTGTAAGAAGAGAAATGCCTTTGTGTCATTACAATATAATAATATTATAACACTAAAGCAGGGCCAGGCTTTTTCTTAATATAAAACTATTTTCAATAAAGATTTTTGAAATCTTCAATTGAACATATGGACTTTTATTAGGAGATGCCCACTGAAAGATTAATATGGTAAGTTCAGAAATCAAGACTTGCCTATTAACAAGATGATATGATTTCAGGACAGGGTTCAAATTATAGGTCAAATTCTTATATTGATCAGAAATGGGCAAATGTCTTCCAGTTAAGAATTCCAAGATCAAGTGAATATTAAAAAATTCAGAGCCAAGTCATCTTTATAACAATTCCTATACAATAATTACAGCATGGACTCTAAATAATAAGTAGTTTGGCTTCTGCTAGTAATACCCTGAAATACTTCAAGAGTTCTTATTGCTTAGGTCCCATTTGAACTTGGCCACTTATCTGGCAGTTTGGCTCAAATAAAATTCCCAAACAGGGAATTGCTGCTTTCACTATCTAAAGAAGCAAACCAAGTGTTAAACCACTCTTGTTTTGGGCCAGGCCTTTAAAAACAGTTTCCCATAATAGGCTGGGAAATATCTCAATGGGCTGATGCCCATATAGTCTCAAGACAGCTTTAGATTTTCATTGGTATGCCCATTTCTCTTTTGTGGACTGTGTTTAGATGACACTCAAAGCAATGCAAGCTATTTCCTTGGTGATGCCACTCTAAAAAATCATGAATATTCATCTGGAATTTTTCAGGATACTGCTGGGGAAAAAATGTGGGCAGTATAAATGAAACAAGAATGTAGGATGTTGATAAATGTTGATACTAAAACTGTATATTGATGTATATACATGATTTAATATATAATCTTCATATTTTGTGTATGCTTAAGAATTTCAAACTAAAATTTTTTAAATGTTTAATGTTCAGACTGCAATAAACAACTCATATTCCTCTAGGGTTTTCCTAGCCTACTAATGATGTATCACCAGCTCTATACTGCATTCCTTTCTAGGTGAAGATAAACTCACCCTAGTCTTCCTGGGAAAGACTAGGAGGACAAATAGCTGGCACAAGATTGCATACCAAGTGTCAGCAGCAGACATGTTTGTTTAAATATTTCATGAATCATTGGTATATTTTTCATTATGGGTACAAGAGTGGTTACCTCTCTGAATCGTTTTGACAGTCCACAGGGATGTAGTAAATACCATTATTATACTTTTTTTCTAATCTGATAGGGTTGTTAAACTGGGAAATCATGTTGTAAAACATCTCTGCAAGCTCTGAGTCTTTTCTACGAAAACTAATTCATTTCTCTACTACTAGAAAGCAGTATTGTTTCATGGCCATGGTACATTTTAGGATTATAGTCATTTCTTAGCAATGTCCCCAGTCAAATGTAAAAGGAACCAGCAGCAGGGGTCATAATGATTTCATCCAACTACCCTGTCCTCTCACTAGAGCTAGATTTAAAGAACTCAGAAAGTCCAAATTAATTACACAGTCTAACAAAAGAACAGCAAGGCAGTTCAGACAAAAGAGCCAGCAACATCTTTAGAAGCATAAAAATATAATAAGGTCTTATATAAGCCTCCCCATTACCCTTTAGTGAGGATTTGGAAGTACAACTTGGGATGAGACCTGGCCCCAGACCTTATCAGACTTTTGCTGATTTATCTCAGCATCTTCCTTAAATCTGCTCTGTTTGCAGAGGCCATAATCTTCTCTGTCTTCCTATATAACATCTTGACCTACAAATGCAATTGCCATAGAGTAAGAATCTTTCTGCATAGGTATTGATCCTGCATATAAGTCCTACTGCTGGATTTACCTGATAAGCCTGAGAGGCAGCCTCTTCCCCCAGGTGCTAGTAACTTTGTTATTTTGTTTGTTTTTACTCTAAGACTAATTCAATATTCTCCAGTTTCCAGATGATCTTCCTTATGGATTGTACCTATGTGTTACTCAAAAGCCCCAACTGCTCATAAGAGGTGACTGCATTGTGGTTATGTGCTACTGGACAAGCCTACTGATGGGATTACAACTGGGCATGATGTTAGGAGGTGAAGGCTGATGGGAAGGGGTGGGTCACTGGAGGCATAGTGAGCAAGTATATATATATCCTTCCTTCCTCCTCCCTTGGTGGCTTGCTATTTCCTTCCTGCCATGAGAAAACCTCTTCCATACCACCCTGTTTAGAACCAGCTGACTATGGACTGACACCTCTCCAAACTGTGACCTATAATGAATCCTTCCTCCTTTAAGTGTGGGTGTCAGATATTTTGCCTTAGCAACAAGAAAGTAACTAAAACAGATTTTGGTACTAGGAGTGGAATCATTACTGTGATGCTACCTGGGTAGTCAAGAAGCCTTTGGGAACTGGTATATGGGAGAAGTTTGGAAAGATTTAGAAATACTGGCTGGAGAAGTAGCCCTAGAATGCTGTGAACTAAACTTGATGGGAGATTCTGGTCAGAGTGCAGAAGACCAAAATGGTGAAAGAAATGTAGCCAGTAAAGTTTATGTTCAGCAAATTTCTGTTGAGAACAAGGACTTCGTTGGCAATTAGGCTCCAGGATATGTGTGTCGTGCTCCCTGTAAAAAACTTGTCTGCATTTTGCTCATATCCAAAGATATTTTGGGATCTGAGATCAAGGCTAATGGATTAATTAATCTTACAGATGCAATGTCAAAGCAGTCTAATGTTGAGGTAGTGGTATGGCTACTGTTGGGGGCTTTTAGCCAGCTCTACCTTGAGAATCAAGAGCAGATGGCTCAGTAGAATGATTTCAATAGTTTTCAGTTTAGCCAGAAGGAAAGCTCCAATAAAGTTGTCACCTGCCAGGATGGAGCAGAAGAGAGCTTGGTTACTGAAAAAGTTGGTATTAAAGCCAAGTAATTTGGAACAGGAAATGGAAAGGATGACCTGAGGGCATCACAAGAGCCAGGAGGATTCTACCTTCCTCATTGTTAAATCACAAAGGCTAAAGAATTTGCTTTAAGAGCACTCCAGGGCACCACATTCCAGAATAGTGGTGACCTAGAGAATTTGTTCCTCAGGATTGTGTTCACAGAACTCAACAATCTAGGCATTCAATCCCAACAGCCAAGAGTAATGGTTACTGCTCTAGCTGGTGGCAGACCTTTGCATTATTTACATGGTACTGATTTTAGATTCATGCAGAATGCAGGAGTTGTGGGGTCAAGAAGGCTTTCACTTATATTTCAGAAACAACCTTGGGAGCCCAGGCAATGTGGTCTTGAGAGGGCAATATGTGAAGCTGTAATTGTGAACCTGAAAGTGCCATAAAGACCCTAGAAGGTTGGCAATACCAGGAATGTGGATTACCTGAGGAAAGCTTCAAAGAGTGAGCAAAGATGGCCCAGGAGAGAGGCCCTTAGGACTAGAATTGCTGGCGGTGGCACTGGTAGGAAGAGGTGGCCACTTAGGTGGTAGAGCCACCTAAGCCCTTTGCAGGTCACGTCTTGCTAAGATTGCCTGAGATGTTAGACAAAGAACTATGGTATTTACTGTTTGCCCCACTGGATTTTGGTCTTGCTTTGATCCCATTTTTTCTGTGTCTTGGAAGAGTGTATGTGTACATTGTTTCTCCTCCTTTGATAAATGCTGCTTCCTGCCTGCCAAGACATAAATAAGCCTCCTCTGCCATGCTTCACTGTCTTGGAACCAGCCAATTGTGGATTGAAACCTCTGCAAACTGTGAGCCTGAGTAAACCTCTCCTCCATTAAGTTTGGGTGTCAGGTATTATATCTCAGCAATAAGAATGTAACTAAAATACTCTCTTTCCTTTTGGGTTTCAATGGTTTGCAAATCCATAGATACAATGGCTTATAAGTACAACCTCCCAAATATGAGGCATTTTAATGCAGCTAATAACTTGGCCATTCCAAGGCTGTTGTGGATCACAGGGAGTATGGTTACCTGGTGATCACCTATCTTGGTGAACTTCAATCATCCACAGGAGAGCCCACTGGAACTCTTATATCCTCACCTCAAAACCTCAACAGAATAAAATGTTCAAGAAACGCAGAAAGACATAATACTAACAATATATTCAGTAAGTAGTATCAGGGAAATTTATGGGCTGGTAATTAGCTGAACATGTGAAAGATTATGAGCACAGGGAGGAGTGCTTGATCCACAAAATGTACTCCAGAAGAGGGACTTGGGCTGTACAACTTGTGGAAGTTAGCATGTCAGACTGATTGGTTTTGGGATCCATCTGAAGAATTGGTGGAGCATAGTTATTGGTGTGTCTAGGCGGAATTTGAAGGTGTGTCCTTGGGGGTCTGACTGGTCCCTCACTCCTTTCTCTTTGCTATTCCCTTGCTCTGATTCTCAGCCACCATGAGCTCATCACTTTTGCTCCTCCATGCCCTTCTACCATGATGCTCCTGCCTTGGTACCTGTTCACCATGGGCTGAATTTCCTGAAATACAAGATAAATTAAACTTCTTCTCTAAGTTGTGGGTGTCAGAAATTATGTCCCAGAAATGAGAAAGCTGACTAATAAATCACTGTACATATTTATAATGCCATTGAGAGGAGCTGACAGTCCCTAGTTAAGGAGGGCACAGTAGAGGATTCCTGGCAGAGAATAAGATCTTTGCATTCCTGACTATGGTGAGATGAATTAGCACACTACTGTTCTTGGTATCTGCTATAGCTCTTGGGTTCCCAGGAATTTATTCAGACATGCTGGAAGAGCTGTCTGAGAAACTAACTGGCAGGGCAAGGAAGAGTCCAGTAAGATCACTGGAGGTTAAATACATGTCTCCTCTTACTTACTACATGCTTTCACTGTATTTTTCTGCCTGTTGTCTTATCAGACCGGTTTTCTTGCAGAGTCTTCTCTGCAATTTGGGCACAAGAATAACTTACAACCACTTTAAAGTTCTTTCTGAGCATTCACAGGCACCTTACTTGCCACTGCCGTCCTATCAGTTTGCTGATTTTTGAGAGTTGATTCGTGTAACAAGCTAAGGGTAGCATCAGATTCCCCTTCATTGACAACTAAGTGAGTGTGAAATAAATGCAGATAATTGTAGTTTATTCTATCAACAGGGACAAGAAGAAGGATATGGGAGAGTAACTTGAACAACCACAAATTGAAGTAAGTGATTCATTTTACAATAACATCAGTATAACTGTAGGTCAAGGAAATAAAATCAGTGAGGAGAGAAGATTTAGAGACAAGAGTTAAATGTTTTTGAGAATTGAAGAATTTCTAAGACTAGAAATATATCCATCAATTGTTATCACACAGTTTAGGCAATCATCCTCTAGGAGGAAACCTGGTGTGATTGCTCAGTGCCATACGTCAAGGAGTCTTGGTCAGGAACAGCCTAGCAGATTAGTAATGTGATGCTTGACATGTGGGCCAGCAGATGACTGAGGAAGTGCACCACAGATGTGGGTGGCACTACCCAATAACTTGTAGCCTAAATGAAATCAAAAGGGAAAGAAGAAAGTGTTTGCTTAAAAAAAAAAAAAAAAAAAAAAAGAACTCCAATCCTCAATGGCCTTTGGACGTTGATCACCAGTTCTTTCAGTCTTCTAGTGCAGACTCTTTGGTCTTCCAAGGCAGAGTCTTTGGCTTTCCAAAAGAGACTTTCACCAGTGACTCTTCTAGGAAGCAACACACCTTTCACTCTCTGGATCCCTAAAACACAGGGGGCAATTTTGGATTCTGCCATCTCTGATGGAGCTCACAACCACTGGGACTCTTCCTGTTAGCCTACCTAATAAATCCAGGATGAGAGAAAAGAAGAGATGAAGCCCCAGACATTGCAGAATACATAAAGTCATGTTAGGGGTTGTATCTTATGTGTACAGCAATGAGAAAAGTTCATTGAAAAAATTTAAGCAATACCATGACACTTAGACTAGCATTCTTAGAAGGACGTAATTAGGTTTGAAATAAAAAAAAAAAAAACTACTGAAGACTGTCAGTGGAGTTGGGAGCCTTATTACAGTTCTGAAAATCATGATGCCCTCAGTTTCTTAAAGGAGGTGTTATGGTTTGTGTCTGGGTGTTCCGCAAAAGCCTCTTGCAGCCATGGGGCAGGCTTTTACAGTTTGATAATGGGTGTGAGAGCCACACCCACCCTGGGGTGGATAGTTTGCATATGTAAGGGAGAGGAAAAGAGTGCTTGAGGCCATTCCTCCCCAATTCCTCGCTGGTGTGTGCTTGTCCCTTTTGCTGTTGTCTGCCGCCAGGAGCTGTAGCCCTCTGCCATGTGCCAGTCTGCCTTGTAATCTGCCAAGTATGGACTGAAACCTCCACAAAGTGTAAGTGAAATAAACCTTCCCTTCCTTCATTTTGGGCATCAGGTATTTTGTCCCAGCAATGAGAGAAAAGTAACCAAGACAGGAGGCAATATTAGAAAGTATCAATAAATTAGAGGGAGAGATGTATTAGAGAAGGGGAACTAGCCTTCTAAGTACAGTATCTTCCTTTTAAGCAACTTTCACTGGAAGCAGTGTCTTCCCACACCATTCACACTTCTTCCATGGGAGACTGCATTAGTCCTCCTGTCATCTTCCAACATCAGCCCACCTTAGCACTACTAATCACACTTGAATCACAGTTTGCTCTTGTAAGGTTTCATAGATAAGGAGAACACAGGAGAAAAGGGAATCTTAGTAGAGGAAACAAATTCTGCCTTTGCACAGTTAATGGCAGTTGCCTGTAAGCAGTGAATGTCAAATGGCACTGGGACATTCTTTTTCCAGTCTCAGGGGAGAGATCTGTGATTGAAATACCTACGTGAGCATCACTAACATAGAGATGGTAATTAAACTATGCAAGTTAATATTCTTATTTCTTTCCCCGCCCCAGCCAGACTTCTGAGTGCTACTATTTCTCCTGGGGCCTCTTAATAGACTCAAACAGTTCTTTCTTCAATGAAAAACTTCAGTTTCATATTCTAAGAACTAAAACAAGATTCTTCTCTTTCTTAGCATGCATGATTAGTTAGGGTCTCAAATGTTATTACTTTGAGGTTAAAGTGAAATGTTAGGTAAAATCAGAAATAAAGAGAAAGAGTTCTGTAACTGTACAATCAAGAAAATGTCCAAGACAAATTTTTGTATGATATTCTAATGAGTGTTCAGGTAATACTGAAAATAAATACATCTACAAGTATATAAATTTGGCTTCTTAAGTGAAGCTTGAGTCATAAGTACACAAATAAGGATATATATATCACTCAAATATTTTCCTCTGAATGTTAGTTTTTTACTCAATATAGCCTTCAGCATCTGTAAAATTCTAAATTGGAATGAATATCTAACTTCACTTGGTCTTATATTTTGGCTATATATTTTGGCATTTTAGGTTTCTTTGAGAAATATTAGTGTTCACTATTTGTGTGTGTATGTGTGTGTGTGTGTGTGTGTGTGTGAGAGAGAGAGAGAGACAGACAGACAGAGACAGAGAGATTTCAGACTTTCCATCTTTTATATTTCACCAAAAGATATTCTTTAAAAATTGTCCTTGAAGGAAAAACAATAAAAGGAAGATTTAAATGGAGCAATAGTCACACCTTGGGTTTGACTATCTTTGGTAATTATGTCTACTATCTTGGGGGAGGAGAGAAATAATTAATCTCTGTTTGACTATTCTTTATGCATCTTGCCTTCTCTAATAATATTCTCTCACCAATTTATATTCCTCCTTCTTAAATATTTAAAAACATACTAATTTTCCATCCACTGTGCACCTAAGCAAATGTGGCATGTTTAATTAAAGGATTTGCCTATACGTAGAGTTTAGAAGTTTTTTAAACACTTCAGAAAAATCTCATGAAATTATTATAAAATGCTACCTGCATTTTCAAATTTGAAAAAGGCATTTTGAGTTGCATAAATTTAGTGTGCTAATACAGTTCACAGTATTATCTGAGTCTTACCTCTTCACTTCAGGCTTTCTAAATAGTAAAAATGAAACTATGACTATTTATGAAAATTTATAAAAGACCTTATTCAAACTAAAAACAATTAGAGATTTTTAATTCCAAATACTGTGTTTTTTTCTTGAAAACTGAAGACATAAAACCATTGGAAAATTTAGTTACATAAGGTAAATCCTAAATTACTGAGTGGCAAAATTTGTATGCTCTATAATCAGTGCTTTCCCCATGAAATTCATTTTAATTGGAAATAAACTTTTTCTATTATAAAAGAAGACTGTCATAAGGCTAGAAGTAACTTTGTGTTTGATCAATCCTAATGTGTACAGTTATTATACATTTACCTTTCAGTTAAACAAGAAAAATGCAAAATTCTTATGAGAAGGAATCCTGTCTTGTTAAATTCTTTACTTCTGTTCGCAAGACTTTTTTTTTTTTTTTTTTTTTTATTTTAAGGATAAAAGGAGGGAAACATTAACAGACATACAACATTTTACAACATATCACAAGCACAATACAGACAATACAGAGTTCCAAACAAAGTGGTAGGGAGTTAACAATGGTGGTTGTATTACATATTGATATCTTCAAAGTGGCTTCTCATGAAAACAGATATAGACATGCAATACTGGTCAACCAAAGACTCATTGACAGTTTCTTTCAGCATAGAAACAGCAGATAGAAGAACAACCATGTTATCTATCCTGTATATACATACATACAAAATTTCTCCTTCTTTCCCTTCTCTTTTCCCACATCCCAGAAGCCCTTTACTCTTCGGTGGTTTCCTATCATTTCACAGTGTCTATCATACCTCCGAGTTTAACTTAACTCTTTCAAGTTTTACACTAGTGACACAATGCGGTGCTTGCACATGTATGTTTGATTTATTTCACTTATGAGTATGGTCTCTAGTTGTGACCATTTAAATATAAAGGCCTTGAGTTTATCTTTCTTTACAGCTGAGTAATATTCCATTATATAAAAGTACCATAATTTTCTTGTTCACAAGACTTTAAAATTATAATCCTTAATTAGCTAAGAAAACATTCAAGTGCATTGTCACCATCATAAATTTCTCCTTCTTGCCGAAATGGTTGTGAAGAAATTTGTTAAGGCGACTTTGGAAATCCACTGCACTTGTCACTCAGTCTTAAATGGAGGAGCAATAGACAAAAGAGCAAAGTTACTTTGGCACATCTCTGTTCTTCCCAAATGTTTACCAGCTGCTCGTGATGTTTTCTTCCCAGGCTGCAGGTCATTCGCTGGAAACCCATTCTAAAACTGTTTTTAGTGACCAACAGGTGCTTTTTTGTCATCTTTAAAACCTGTATTTTTCTGTCTTAAAAAACAAAGCAAACAAAGAAAATGATACCTTATTCCTTGTCACATGTTTGTACTGATTTATAAGTGGGCTAGGATGTCCGCTGGCAAAAAATTCTTTCAGTTTCTCTACCTAACAAAGTACTTTATCTTCATTTTTGAAGGATATTTTCACCAAATGTAGAATTTTCAGTGGACAGTTTTTTATTTTCTTTCTTTTTCTCATTGTATTAAAGATGCTACTCCATTGCTTTATGTCTTGCATTTCTCATACAGATCTTGTGCTTCCCATTCTTGATGGCAGTTTTTTGTTTTTCTTCTATATCACTGATTTCTCAGTAATTTCATTAAGGTTTACCATGCTGCAATTCTGTGCCTATTCTGCTGGTGTTTCTTTGAAGGTCTTGGGTCTGTGGTTTAGAGTTCCCATACAACTCTAAAATTACCAGTCATTAATTCTTCAAATATTTGTCCTTCCTCTTCACAATTCCAACATTTTTATCAGACTGGTTGATATTTTCCACCAAGTCTGCAGTTTCTCACTTCCTTTTATTTTTTTCTACAGTTCTATTTGTGATATGTTTGGATTTATTGATGTTTTTGTATGCAATATCTACTCTGACACATATATGTTTGATCACCAAAAGCAGTATTTGACACTTTCGGTGAAACTTCCATTTCTTCTTGTCATGTTTATATGTTCCTTTAATCTTAATCATATTTATTATAGCATTCCCTAGTCCTTATCAGTGAATTGCATAACTCTCTCTCTCTCTTTGTTTTTTTGGTACCAGAAATTGAACTCAGGATCTTGCGCTTGCCAGACAGGTGCTCTGGCACTGAATTATATCGCTAACCCTATTTATCTCCTTTCTGAATCTATTACTATCACTGAATTTTTCCTGATAATAGATTATATTTTCCTGTTTGATTATATCTCTGGTGATTTTTTAATGTGGTGCTGAGTTATAGATATTACACTGTTTAACATCTGGATTTTATTGTTTTCTTTATAGTGTATAAGATTTTATCTTGATTGGTAATTGTGTTGCTTCTAAATTTACTTGATGCTTTCTAGCTTTATTTGGAAAAAACTTTAGAGCCTTTGAATGTTATTTTAATGATACAGTATTGTGTTACCTTCCTGGTTTTTGATTAATGCCTTGGTATTCCTGTAGGCTTCTCCAAAATGGATATGCTTGAATGCGTACCAGCTCTAGTTAAGTTTTGAGAATTTTTATGCTTTCAATTTCTCCAGCATTCTTTACCTGGCTTCGTGGACTTGTACTTTACGCATATATAACTTATTGATTAGGAACCTACCCAAAGGAGATCTATGCAGGTTTGATACCAGGTAGCATTCTGCATGTTTTCTTCTTTTGCAACCATCAGCTTAGAAAATTCTTACTGGCTGATTTTCCTGAAATCAGATTTCATTTACTCAATGCAGCAAGTACTTAGCGCTGTTCTTGGTTTCTTCCTCTCTTCCTCACCATGTGAAAAGCAAGCCCACACAGAAATCCAGCACAACTCTAGAACTAATTCCTTATTTCTCCTAATTTAAGAATCACAGACCAGCATTTCTAGCTGTGCAGTGTTGAAAATAGTCCAGCCTTTTAATAATGTGAGAAGACAAAAAAAAAAAAAAAATACCATGACATCGGTGTCACTAATGCCCTTATTGTCAATGGTTGGTCAGTCTATATGTCAGACAGAGATTTTGTTATGCATTATTTCTATTGACACATTCAGATAAGAGCAAAAACAGATGTGAAAGTATACATAACTTGAGCAAAAAGGCTGGTAGAAAATTCCATTCTTCTTCAGTAACCATTGAAGAAAATAATCGCAAGTTCTCATGACACATGACACAACATAGATCCAAGCACATTATTTTCAAATCAGTATTTCCAGCCTTAGTATCTGAAAATTAGGACCTTCATTTCATGGTTTCTACTTTAGTCTTTTGTGTGCACACGTGTGTGTGTGTGTGTGTGTGTGTGTGTGTGTGCTGTGTGTGTGCCTGTGTGCACGTGTTTCCTTAAAGGAATCTTTCCTGCTGCATCTGTTATTTCATTCACGTGAGTTCTAGATCATTTAAATATTGTAGCTGTCTTAGGGTTCTAGGGTTTCATATCAAGTATTATAGAAAACAATTCCCTAGTTTCTCTTTCTGCAGTTCTTGCCAAAGCGTATGAACTCATTTTAGATTTTCATACATATCCTGCCTTCAAACACCTAACTCACACCTGTATCTTTGAATCATATTGTTTTATTCTGTCTAAGTAATTCAGTGTATGTTTTTCCCAGAGGTAGGCCTGAATGATTTGTCTGAAATAATCTCTTGGGAAAACTATCATTTAATTTTAATGTGTTGAAATTTGGGAGGAAAATTCCATGAATATATGATCTTTTCTTTCCACAATTCTACTTCCCACTCTCCAGTCTTCAGTACCATATTTTAAATAATTGATGGCTTTTTACAGTATCATAGAAGCTCTGTAACTTTAAACACTATGTGCTAATATTTATATGATGAACTTAGGAATTAAGACACAAGAGAAAAAATGAGGGTCAGTGAATAGAGGGAAGCAGAGTGTGAGAAAAATGAACATTTAATTCAAAGCATAAAGCATCTCTAGAAGTCAGTAGCCAAAACTTGTATATATATTTATGCTTCTTTTGAAAATGCAGATTTGTAAAAGCTGCCATCAAAGGCTTAAGGTATAACATTTGATATGCTTTCATATAAGTGTTCAAATCTTAAAATTAGTATTGCTTTCTTACATCCATTAGCATCCCCTAATGTCCTAGTAATGGTGCCACTGATCTAGACAGCTGGTATCTCAGAGTGAATCTATGGTCTATATTATCTCATTCTCTCTCTGTCTCTGTCTCTCTGTCTCTGTCTCTTTGTCTTTCTCTCTGTCTCTCTAATGGAGCCCAGAGACTTCACAGTGAGCTACATCCGCAGCTGTTTTTTATTTGTTATTTTGAGACTGAACTTGAATTTTCAGTCTTCCTACCTCAGTCTCCTACAGTGCTGGAATTTTTTCTTTGTATCATTTGTTTAGTGATCTTATCTGGCAATTACTAGGTAACTCACACAAGCAATTTAAAATCTGGTAAAGACAATGTCCTCAGATTTGCAGTATTTGGAAACAAATGTAAGGAAAAGTATTGGGGAAGATCTTACATAAAAACAAAAATGAAGACAATATAGAGGAAAATTATAAGGAAAGATTTCAGTGTGTGGAAATGAACTGTTCATTAAATACAAAAGAAGGTGCAAAGGAAAACCTGTCTTTGAAAACCTTACAAAACAACAGAACTAAAATGATCTGGAAAACCCCAAATGAAACATATAATTGGTATCTGGGGACATTAGTCATGGCAAGAGCCACAGTTCACTCACCACGTACAGCAGGTTTGCTGGATTCTCTCCAGGTGCCCAACTGGGTTCATCCTCTGAGGTTTCCTGCCCTCCTGGGGGAATGGCCCCTGTACTGGGTGCCTTTTGCCTGGAACTGGCACAGAGTTTGTAGGGTGAAAAGAAAAGTTAGAGCAGTTCTTTGCTTTTAATCTGCATCATTAGGGTAGTAGATGTGACCCCTCTCGTCACAAAGGAGGGCAGCTCTTTTTGGTCTCACTGGCTTCCAGAGCAATGACTTCTAACTAGTCACTTCAAACATAGAAAAATTAATATTTTCCAGATACTACTAGTCTCAAACTTTTTTTTCGTTGCCTTAATGTTGCCCACAGTTCCCTAAGTGGACATCCATTCATTCTAAATCTCGCAATTTGAACTCTCTAGAATGAATTTGGTTTCTCACCAGGAGCGTGATTTACACAGCAAGTATTTGTTATATCCACTCACAATGATGTCCTTTATATTTTTCATTATAAGCAATACGTACTTTGTGCATCCATTCATCTAAATATAAGCTAGTGTAGCTTACCTGAGGAAACAAGTGCATGCCAAATATATCAAAAGACATTGAGCTGCTGTTTCTGGATTAGCTGTCACAAAGATCAGGTGAGATCTTCCTCAATTCCTAGTGCCTGCTGATCACACTGGCCCTAACAGCATCACAGAATTACTCCAAGCTGGATTGTGCCATAGAGTGCATTAAGGACTTTATAGTTGTGAATCCATTTAACATTTGAGTCCCCTTTATTCTGCCTTCATTAAGATATGAATCCACGTTTGAACATCAGCAATGATAAGAGTGAGCTAGTATCTGAAGCTATTGTAATTTTGAATAGCTTTAGCTTTTTGAAACTATTTCCTTTGGAGCATATAAATATTCTCCCATTTAACTTCCCTCACAGACCCAAGGTCTGCCTTTCTGTGCTATCGTCAGTATAACTGATCTCCTTATTTCATCATAACCTTTCAAATGATTTGAATAGAGTTACTATGACCTTATTGAATTTTCTCTCTTAACTAACTTTTTCAACAACTTGCCAAACACCTCCATGGCCATACACTCACACAGCACTGAAAAATAATTTATTTTTATTTTTGAAGTTTTTCTCCATTACCCTGAAAATATATCCTTCATCAGAACTTGCTCATTCGCAACACTTTTATGTAGACTTAATTTAATCATTTCCCAAACTTCAAATGTCTTGCTCTCTGGCTTTTCCAAAGCTCCTTTCACCTCACATAGGAAGGCAGTCAGTCTACAGCCATACACTGACTAAAAATCAAACTTTGCCTAAGTTCACATTAATTTACCCACACTTGACTAAAAGTGTTTTTATTCTATTTGACCAGATTATAGTCAGATCTATATAGAAATGCAGGAGAAGAGTCTAGTCTTGTACATTTGTATTTGCCCTAGCTCTATAGCAGATAGTTTATCCATTAACATACTGTATCTCTTTCAGGTACTACTCAGGGATTGAGAGGTGAGATTCCCATCTATTTAGATACCAGGTTTTAATTTACCTCTGGTTTGTGATTACACTAAAAATCCTTGGAACCATTGTCCTTATTGTTGCCAATTAGTCTGATAACAGTTGGACTAATTCCTTTGGTCTAATATACAAATTCTGGAATAAAATATACTTTCTGGAGTTTTTTTTTTTTTTGAGACAGATTCTCTCCATATAGTTCATACTGGCCTCAAATTCTGGATCCTCCTGCTTCACAAGTAACTGGAAATACTAGTGTACCTGGATATAACATCTTGATTATTGGAAATATTCACTGGAGAATGCATTCAAACATATTTTGAAAGTATTTCCTGAACATCAGGGCCCCTGTTCTAGTATGGTACTCAGGAAAACAAGAAATTTCCCTTGTTTTGACTACTGAAGTCTTCTCTGCACTCAAGTATTTGGGCTTCAGCTCATAGTCACTCTATCTCCTTCCCATATAAAGATTTTTAATTTTAAGTTTACAATGTCCCTACAGCTCCTGTAAGGCCTCTCTCATTAGATGCAAATATGAAGTTGAAATAGAGATGAGATTTCAGAAAGTACCAGTACTAGGAATCATAAGAACTGAATGTATGCTTCAAGTTGTTACTAAGTGTATTGTAATGCTTGATACATTGTGTCAACTTCAGAAGTTTAGAAGCTTAAGTGACCCTGCAGTTCTACATCTTAGGATGTAGAGGACATGCCCTAGGGTGGCTGTTTAAGCCCTAGAATGCTGTAATGGTTTATTCATTGTGTCATTTTGAGAAGTTTAGAAATTTAACTAAGCAACTCAGCAGCGGCCCATGGTCCTCACTTTGTAAACATCCTGAGCCTGTGCAAGAGGAGGGCACAGAAATAGTGTGAGTGCTACATCCTCCCTAGGGTGAGTAATATGCACACAACATAGGGATGAAAAGAGGTCTGCTCCCCATCTTTTTGCTCCTGTTGCTTTTGCTGTTTTCCTCCACTATGGACTGTTACCTCTCTGCCACATACCACCAGGCCTTGGAGCCAGGTGATTATGGACTGAAACCTCCACAAACTGGGAGCTAAATAATCCTTTCCTCCCTTAATTTTGAGTGTGAGGTATTTTCTCTCAGTAACCATAAAAGTAACTAATGCATGCTTTTTACTGTATGTGTATATTTCAAGTTGTTACAGTTGTTGCTATGGCAGTCATTCATTCACTTGCTTTTTTTTTTTTCTAAAGAGTACCAAGCTGCAGTGAAATAACCTCTCATCCACTCCAGGCCTGTCAAAGCATAATGGCTCTCAATGGCTACAACTAAATCCAATATTATAAAAGGAACACAGCAATGGGAGCTGGAAGATCCAAGTCCTAACTCTACCTCTAACAAATACATGAACCTGAATGATTTCTATCTCGTTCTAGTCCTGCATTTCTCTTCTGTAAGTCAGCAGTTAGAATTTGATGAGCACAGGGCTCTTTATGGCTCTACTTTGCTGAATGTATCCTTTTACTTGAAAGGCTGGTAAAGGAACTAGCTAACTCATTTGCAGAGGGAGTTGAATCCTAGCATAGGAATTCAGGACTATCTGTGGGAAGATGTGACTATAGTACAATCATTATGATTCATCAAAAGAATAAATTCTCTTGTTGGTTACACACACACTCTCCACCCCTTCCCACTCATGACTTTTACTTCCTGGTTTAGGAACAGACTAAAAGTAGGGGAAGGATGTGGGTGGAGTGGAACAAAGAGAGGGGAAGGAGGGAAGTGTTCTGTATTTGGAAGAGATATTTAGAAGCTCTTTCTCCTGCTCATTTGTACCACCTACAGTGCTTTTATTCTTCCTTATTGAATCTTTGATTATCCTAACTATGCAGACAGTAATAAGTCAAAATAGAGACTGTCACTCCCCTTCAAATATCATGAGCTCAGTTAAAACATTTGCACACATACACACATGATGAGTTAACTCACTGAATAAAATTAAAAGAAATCAGAATTAAGGTATTCAGGTATACCAATGAAAGAGCAGAAAACAAAATCACAATAAGGTAATTGAGGACATATTTCTATGGCTACAAGTGAGAGAAAAATAGTGAAACTGACCTTTAAGAGCAATTTTCCATCTTTTACTTTGATAGAGGGAGTCCACTCATAAGTAATGAAAAAGCTTAAAAGCAGAGCTTATAAGTACTTTTTATGAGCACATGATTTCTGACCTCAGGAACTTTCTGGGTGAGGGGTGGCTTGTTCTGGTACTTTCCTGATCACAGCAGGAAGATTGCTGAACTTGAGGAGCTTGAGGGATCCTAGGAACCTTATGACAATGGAAGGGTCTTAGTAGCCAAGTTTTCTATGACCCTCAAAATTAAGTGCAGTTTCCAGTGAAAACAAGGTGACATAATCCAGTTTGTCCTGCTCCTTCTTGCTAAATAAAATAAAAATCGCAGAAATATCTCAAAAGGGTGTCAAAGATAAATACTGAAAAATGGAAAGAGGAAGGCAAACTGAGTGGGAACCCAGAAGTGGGTCAAGAGCATACTATCACGATTTCACATATCCTCCTCTCATCCATGTTTGCATCCTGTTTGTTTCAGCTGTGATTGTCCATTCAACGTTCTAATGATAGGAAAAACTAATAAATTTTTGATTGATGCTATTTACCTATGTTTAAAATGCTTTATTTTAAAAATTCTGTTTTCTTAATAAACTTTACCTATGTTTATCAAGTAAATAAAATTTACCTATGTTTAAAATGATTTATTCTAAAAATTCTGTTTTCTTAATAAACTTGTTTTTCTTAAGTCATTTTAGATCTATAGACTAATAATTGCTTCTCAGCCTTTTGGCTAAGATCAAGTGTAGATTTATAGAATAATTACAAAAATAACACAAAGGCTTCCTCCATACCCCTTACTCAGTTTCCTCCTTGTTAGCATCTTACTTTGCTTTATTATATTTGTCAAAAGCAGTAAATTGACACTGTACTCTACTGTGGCGTAAACTCCAGACTAGTATTTGGATTTCATTGGTTTTACCAGTGATGCCAACTTTTGTTTTCTAGGATCTGATCTAAGTTAACCACATTGCACTAGTTGCTGCATCTCCCCCAGCTGCTCAGGTCTCTGGTGGTTTCTCAGTCTTTACTGGCTTTTTCATTACCTTTGCGGTCTAGAGTACTGCCAGCCAGACATTCTGTATAAGGTTTCCTAACTTGAGTGTATGCCATCATATTCTCACAATTACACTGAGGTTTGGGCAAGTAAAATGCTTCAAGTGATATGTCTTCTCTTTTTAAAAAAAATATTTTAAAATAAAAGAATGAAAATATATTAACAGACACTCATTTACACAATCACATAAGAACAATACAAGCAATACTGAATTACAGACAAAATGGTAGGAAATTAACAATGGTTGTTGTGTTGCATATTGATATCTTCAAAGTTGTTTCTCAGGAAAACAAATAGAGACATGCAAGATTGATCAAATAATTAATCATTAACTGTTCCTTTCAGTAAAATGATAGAAGTCAGTAGTACAACTATGTTAGCTATCCTGTACATACATACATACATAATTTCCCCTTCTTTCTTTTCTCTGTTCTCTCATTGCAGTTACTCTTTACTTTTGAGCAGTTTCCTTTCGCTTCACAATGTCCATCATTCCTCCTAATTTTTATTCACTCTTTCAGGTGCTAACACTAGTGAGACAACAAGTTGCTTACACATGCAGGTCTGATTTATTTCACTTATGAGTATGGTCTCTAGTGCTGACCATTTACTCATAATAGCCTTAAGTTTATACCGTCTTCTCAACCAGAAGAAAATAAGACCTCAAAGCATTGCCACTGGTGTTGAATTTCATCACTTTGACAAAACGGTGTTTGCCAGGCTTCTCCACCTTGGTGCTACCATTCATCTCTTCCCTTCCTCTGTTATTTGGATGTGAAACTCAATAATGTTTTCTTTTTATTTTAAAATGAGTAAATTGTGGTAAAATGAAAAAAACACTTGTACATATATCTATTACTTAGATTTTAATATTTTAAACTTTAGTTGTTTTTCCCTGTTGATTTTGCTATACTCATTGAGCTGGTATTCCTTAAGTCACTTCAGAATTGCCTTCGCTTTTCTTGCCTCACTGAGAAAAAATGATGAAAAGTTAATATTTAGTGAAAAGAAGCAATCTCATATTAAGAAAGATAGCATGACAGGACTCATATAAATTTTAAAGACAAAAGGCAAAATATACATTATATTTTATGAATATCCATATACATAGTTTCACAGTCATAGAACCAAAAATATTTATTAGTTTTTCCTTTTCTTTGTTCTTGCACTTGTCTTTATTCTTGCACTTTTCAAGTTTCATTCTTTTTTTTAAGAGAAGAAATAATAAAATAGTGTTTCAAATCAGGCTAATAGGAGGTTAAGAATAATTAATATGTTGCAAAGTGTTATCTTCATAGTAGTTACTGAAGGTGCAAGATATAGGAGTGAATATCCTCCAAATAATATTAGCACAAATTTTCTTTTTAATGAACTAAGAGAAACGAGCTGTATAACTATCTTAAATATCTTGTACACTTTTTTTCCTTCCTTTCCCTTTTCACCCATCAGTTTCTATCAGTGTCTTATTTAGCAAGTTTCTTTAGTGAAAATTTGAGAATACTAATTTCCCAGTTTGGGGCTGTCCTCAAACTATCTTATGTATTTTGCCCTAATAATTGAATGAAATTTTAACTGGGGATACAATTCTAAGGAGAAAATTGTTTTCTCTTGAAATTCAAAACTTAGAATAGTATTCACTTCTTGGGTCTTTTGCTCTGCAGAGAATGCTGTTTTTATTTAATAGTAATTTTTTCAAATGTTATCTACATTTCCCTTTATTTACTTTTACTATTTTATTTCTCTTTACTATTTTATTTCATTTCCAATGGATTCACTAGGTTGTACTTAAATATGATTTAGTTTCTTTCATGCTGCTACGGAGTCAAAGTCTTACTTTGATCTTTTGAGGGTTTATATTTTGTAGGTGAATCTTTCAAACTATGGCCCTAGTCCATTGAAAACTTCCACTTAGAAGATGAACAGAATCCACTGAATTTACATTTGTAGAACTTGTCTAACTGTCCTTTCTTCATGAGCTCTGGCTTTTGTGTATTTGATCACACTGAGCTATGTATCTACATCAAATGTTTTTCCTGGAAAGTATTCAAAGTTTTGTTCCAAGCCACTATAGCTTCTAAGGTTTTGCTGGTTTATTGAATATTTAGAATTAAACACTCTGTCTTGTAACTTTCATTTCTCTTTTTATTTCACAAATAATTGATATTTTTCCATTCAAAGTTTTAAACATGAACAATCATTTAAGTAAATTTTACCTGATTTACCCAGACTTTCCCTGTGTGCAGTACAGAGGCAGTAAATGGCTCTGCCATGTCACGGCAGTCTATTGTGTTAACCAGAAATGTCAAAACACCATTTCTGTATAAAATTTTTTCTATAGATACAAAAGCAGGGTATTGCTAGAAATATAGTTTCTAGTTTGTAGATGTCTGAAATTAAATCAAAGATATCAGATACAAACCCATAGAATGTAAAAGAAAAAATGCTGCTAGGAAGCCTTCCATAACTGTTTATAAATTAGTGGTTAAAAGCCTTGATTCAAAAGCAAAAATGCCTAAACTTAACTAAGTTTATCTTTGTTTGTAAGGTTTAGGTTAACTTTACCTATCTCATAGAGTTGTGGTGAAGTTGAACTTAATGTTAATTACTTTAAACTCCAAGACTACAAAGACCATGTCAGACTATGTCAAATGTTTTAACACATCTACACAAAAAGAGGTGGACAGCTGGGTTCAAAATTAACCTTTGACAATGGTGACATAATAGAGAGTGAATTTAGTGACACACATTTGCTTGAGATCAAGCTGTACTATACTTCTATTCAAACTCACTCTGAGAGTGAAGTTGTGCATCTGGATTGCTTCCACTGATTAACAACAGAGATTGACTTCACTGAGTCATCTGATCCCATGCAATTTGGAGACTATACTGGAAACCAAAAGAGTGAATCAGCATTGCCAGAGAGGAAACTCTCCCAAAATCAGTGGAACAAGATAGTGTGACTAGTCGTGGCCGTCACTGTAGTAGATATGCCTGGGTGAACACCATTTAGCCCCTTGCCTAAGAAAATCATTGGGAAACAATAAGAGAACAATAGAGGATATCTATTCCTAGTGTATAGGTGAAAATTCATGACCAGAAGTGCTCAAAGTGCTGGAGGAATAGATGTCTTCACACAGAGATGCAATCAAAAGACCCGGCAAGCAAATTTGCATGAGAGCATAACGAGATTAGTAGATCCACCAGCCCCACAGAGTGCAGAGATATTTTATGACAGTACCAGCCAAGTATGAACATGTTGTTTCAGATATTCTATTGCAAATGGAGAAAGAGGTACACAATGAGGAAAAGAAACAGCACCCACATCCTCTTCAGCAATCATAGTTCTTTCCTGTAAAACTCTTGTTAGTGAAGATCTTTTATTTCCTGAAAGTGAGTAGAAATGTGCTTAAGAAATTTTAATTCAGTTGCAGAGGAAACTTTTCCCTAGCTGAATAAAATTAAAAGGACGGGAGTACAATGTATTTTATAACTTGAATTTTGAAGGCACACACTTGCTCTGTATTCTCTTCAATCCACAATTACTTTCCATTATAATTTTAGTTTCTCCTCCAACTTCAAGTTGGATTATAAGTTTTAAAATCCTATAACATGTACACAGGACAAGAGTTGTCCATTATAAATATTGCAACACAAATATGGCTTTTATAAACTAATAATCTAAACTAGTCTTTTGGCTAAAAACAGAACTAAGTCAGCATGTAGTATGTTATAATTTAATGTGTTGTAGGTCACATTTTTATTTTTTCTTTGACTCAAATACCATTTAGACAACTTTGTTATTATTTTTCTCAAGCAAAGGCTGACCTTGAGCCCAGGACCATCTGATTGCAAAGTCTCCATTCATAATACCAATCTAAACTTCCTTCATTTTAAGAATGTATTTTTAAAATTTTATATAAGCCTCATATGTACTCCAAAAACAAATATTTTCACACTGTTTTCAGGCAAACCTTAGAGTATCATAGCCTGCTTCACATTCCAGTATCATCAGAAAACTCTGAGAGGGCCAGAACTTAGACCTACATCCTCATTTTACTCAAAGTTATTCTTTTTAATGGATTTTATATATAATGTGATTCTTTGGAAAGACTTTGTCAAAAAAAACGAAGTGCCTTCCCCTGAAAAAACAAATCCAAACCTCACTTCTTCAAAATACACCTGAGATTATAAAGTAGTAAACCCACTATCGAAATCAGTATGGAGATGCCTCAAAAACTAAAAGTAGAAATTCCATGTGACCAAGATACACCTCTCCTGGGTATCTTCTTGAAAGAGTTAAAGACATCATTTACAGTGATACACCATAATCATATTTATAGCAGCACAATTTATCATTAAATCTTACAAGTGGCCTATATACCCCACAACAGTGAATGGATAAAGAAAATGTGGGCTGCCATATACAATAAAGTACTACTCAGCCATAAAGAAGAGTGAATCTGAGTCATTTCTAGGAAAATGAATATAGCGTGAGAACATAAATCTAAATGAAATAAATCAGACACAGATGTTCTTTCTTATATAAGAAACCTAAAGTGTGAATAATTTAAAGAGAAAAATTTAAAAGATACATGACAGGTAACAGGGAAATAGACTTTGTGGAGAGAGGAAGGAAGTACAGAGATGAGGGAAAGGGAAAGGAAAGCAGGGGACAAGCAAGTAAAGAAGATCAAGTGGCACTGTGTTTCCACCAGTACCACATGAAGAATATATTGGTTATGTATTACAAACACTAATAAAAATAAAACACTAATAAAAGTAAAATAAATTTTAAGAATGAATATGTTGCCATCTTCTTCTTCTCTACCCACAAGCCAATGTGAATACATTACACGTTGCCTCAATTTCCATATTTAGGAACTCTATGGTCTCACTTGAAGAAGGAAGCCCCACATCTGCCCGGATCAGCTACCCTTTTACGTCAGGACAGTCTATGCTCCACAAAGAAACATACACGATGCAAACTCAGTGTAAAACCCAAACCTGTATCTGTTCATTTGTTACTGCAATATAATTTAATACTGTTATTTTTCATCATCCTTAGTATCAGGCTGTTCTCCAAGATAAATAAGATTTCCCAGGGAAGAAAAATTTTCCTCATGGGTGTGAAGCACTAAGAGAAATTTCCTGGAGTAACAAACTGGCCCTCAATGTAACTTTTTAATAAAAATTTTGATGAATAAATTATTCATAGGACAAAACCTGCAGCTCTGAATGTACAGTTTAAGTATTGCATTCTTTGCTTTCATACAAGAATCTCTGTCTTTTAATTTATTTCCTAATGGTATTTAGTGCTTAGAACACAGTGATAACTTACACTATGTGAGGAACGTAACAAAGAAATGCTTAATGGAAAAGCTTTATAAATTTTAAGCAAATGCCTGTCAGGGTACACTTCAGCTATTTCACATTTATCTAAAAATAAAAAGGCTATTTATCATGTTCTATCTTAAGATAATGTTCAAGAGTTTGAGGAAAATTGCACCAAATATAAAAATGCACATGTCGTATATTATCTTGTACCATGTGTTCAAATTCATACATTGTTGTACAACTTCTGCATGATTCATTTCATGTAACTCTTTAACTTAGCTTAATAATATCTTAATTTAAAAATTAAATATTAAGCAAATATAATCACAGATCAACAATTAAATAAAAGTGGGGATTTTGGTTTTGAGGGTCACAACATCCCATTCATATCTTGCTTTTATTTGACAGGCCATGCTTTTTTTCTCTTCTTTTTTTCTCTTTAATTTCTTCTTTTTGGGGGGCTGGGGGAAGGTTGGAGAAATGAAATGTAACATTGAGATCTCCAAGCATTTCAAACACAGATAACACATGCATTTATGTTGGTTCTCAGAGAAGGCAATCAGCAAAGCATGAGGGGAAAGTTATCAGAAGTTTGGAATCCCATTCTCAGCCTTTCTATAAATACCCTTTTCCCTCAATTCTTCTACAGCAACGTTATCTGTTGTGTTTCATTATGGATTAGGATGTTCTTAATGAAGACTCATTACCTACTGCAAGAGCTATTTCATCTTAATTCTTCTAGTACCAGCCACTATCCCATTCACTTGGTGTTTGTGCATAATCTCAGTTGCTATTTCTTTTTGTAACTTGGTTTTAGTTTAGCATGGTGATTAGGACGTGAGACTTTGCAATCAGATGGTCCTGGGCTCAAGGTCAGTCTCTGCCGCATAGTAGCATTCTGTTAGCTTGAATAAATTATTTAAACTTCCTGCCTTCCTGTGAGACTGCAGTGGGAATGCTGTTGATGTTGTGTGAGCTGTGGGTGCCCAGGATGGCATGATGATATCTGTCCAGAGCCTCTAGCCTAGTGATACACGACAGCAGGCACAAACGCTTGAAGCCAGCATGAAGCTCGTTGGAGCTTTTCAAGCCCAAACACTAGTGCTGATGGCTGGGATGGAGGGTAAAAAAAAACTCTGCTCCATTCTGACATCAAATCAAAGCAGGTAGGACCTATTTCATTCTTATCTACCCTTAAATCTGAATTCCATTTCAATTCAACATTTGAAGGGTGAAAAAAATTTAAAGGTAAAGCTATACTTCCTGGTGACCAAGGGAAAGGAGTAAGAAATAAGGCCACATGTTCCAAGTAAGAAATAAGGCCACATGTCAGAGCTCTGGTTACTGAATGAGACCGAGCAGAGAGCATTTTTACCTGCTGCTGTGCTGTGTGTGCAGATCCTCATACGTCGGGGTGAGATCGAGTTTGAAACCCAAATTTAGACTGGTCCAGATATGACTGTTTCTTTCTTGAGATGGGATAACTTGACTTTCATCTCAACTCTTTTAGGGAATAACTGAAGAGAGGGTTGAAACAGAAGCATACAGGAATGTTGACTGCTTTTCCGAGCCGCCAACAGCTACATTCCTTACTGGTTCATTTTAAACATGTAATGAAATAATATATGGAAAGCACAAAGACTGATGCTGAAAATAGACATGGTTATTATAAGTGTGAGATCGCAGAACTATTTGTTGCATGGACTGTATCCTTTTGTCATACCGTCTATCCTGCTTTCTTCCCTTTGTCTTCCCTGCAGGAGGCTGGGTTTGAATCCTGCATCATGACTTTGAAGGAGATCACTGCATTTTAACCTCCTTAGAAGAATTTGCCTGTGAGCCTTGTGCAATCAGGACATAAAGGTAAAAGGGTTTGTATCTTTGCTTTGAAAAGCTCAGGACCATTCTAATTGCCTAGCAGGAGAGAGGAGCTGAGCAGAAGGCTGGAGCACTAAGATGAGCTGTAGCAAAAAGGGTTACATGTATCTCAGCTCTGTTGGCTCTCTGAAAATCAAAAAGTCTGACAATGCACCCTAGGGACACAGCTGTGCTTCTGCTTTTCAGTCAGATGAGCTTAATACTTGCCATAACAGTGATTTCAGACATGCTGCCTTCCTGGAAATGAGATTGTGTTTAAAAGAACAGGCTCTTGTTAGCTATCTCTTTTCTTCTAAATAATAGCAAGAAAAAGAAATGCTGTCTTTGAAAGGAGATTTTGATGTTTATTGTTACTTAAAATGTTTGGAAATGTAGGACTAACTACACAGATACTGATCATTTTCCTAAGTCCTGAGTCCGCAGTTTTGGAAGCTGCCAATTTAACTCTGAATCTCTCCACAGTTGGGATTTTCCTGAGGTATGGGCCACTGGAAATATGGGCACTAAGAGATAACTTCATCCCTGATACTCTCTTCTGTAAAACATCACTTCTTGTCAAGTTAGTACCATAAATATTTTTACAGGACATTGACGATGACCTTTAACAGTGCTTCAGGAAAGACATCATGTAGAGAAAGATTGAAGGAAGCATAAAGTACAAGTATAAACTGATGTGTGGACGTTGAATCCTCTTATCATTACCTATAAGTCATCTCTGAACCTTTTCTCTTCTACTAAAATGTTGACTCTTTTGCATTACAGGCTTTGTAAAAATGTGTGCTCCACCAAAGTTAGTCTTGTTATTTGCATGTTAAAAGTCCTGTCATACTTAGGGTGCTTTCTGACTTACCTAAGGGAACTAACATCAGGGCTTTTGACTGTTTTTTGCTCTGACTTTTCCATCACTGCATAGTTCTGGTATGCAGGAAGAAATAGTCTTGTGCATTCTTTGACTCCTTATATTCCCTATTTCTTGATTTGTTTTCAAGGTAGAAAATATATGTCATTGACTTCCTTGAAACACATAGACTCGGTATTTAATTCTATGGTGATTTCTTGTCAATAAGGAAAAAGATAATTTAACAACCAAGTTGGGGGTTAATTAATGAGCTATCCCTATTCTTCATCAATATTCTACTAAAATTTCATATCCCAATGAGATCCTAAAATTTAAAGCTCTGCTCATATTAGGCTGTGCTAGAGTACAAATATGTGTTTAAATGTTATCAGCACTTTATGTGAAATTCTCCCTTGCCACAAGTGAATGTCATGAGAAATACTGAGAATCTTTCCTACTAAAGAAAATGATTCCCTGAGGGACAGAAAGCCAGAATACAGAGATTTGATGGTGTCTTTTGCCATACATTCAAAGTATTTGCTTAAACTCTTTTTGAAAAAAGCCAATAAAATCATCACTATTTTCAGATAATTTCTTTTGAAATGTTTAACTATCAACTGAACTCTAAGGAGACGTCTTAGGGAGCAATGCCTTGCTGTAGACTTTCTAAACAGAGAAAAAGAATCATGTAATGTCATCCCCTTTATTAGGAGCCTTAAAAATAACAAAATTTTATTATTTTATTTTATTTTATAGTTCTTTGGATTAAACACAGGGTCTTTGCACTCAGCTAGATCCCCAGTCCTTTTTATTTTTTCATTTTCGGGCAAAGTCTTGCTAAGTCACTAAGTTGCCCAGACTCAGCTTAAACTTGTGATCCTGCTCCTTCCACCTCCCAGAGTGCTGAGATTTCAGATGTCCTTTACCAAACCTGCCAGACTGTTAACATCTTTGGGCAACATTTTACAAGGTTTTGATATTGCTATGACTTTAAAATAAAAGTCCTCAGCAGAGGTCCACATATTGGTAATTATTCATGTGTAAAATTAAGTTCCCACTCATCCCTGACCCTAAGATAAACTAGGCATCTCAATGTCTCTCCTACTTCATGTAACCATAAGCAAGCTAAGTAGAAAAATTACATTAGAAGAAAACAAATACATACTCAGCAGTGCTGTCTTATCCACAGGACATGAATTTCCAAACCACGAGTGGCTGGCTATATTATGAACCCCATACATATGATGTCTGTGCCACAGAGTACCAAACCCAATCTGTCCTTTTATGTCATGCCCTGGTCCTTTGTGGCATTACTGCTCTTGTGATTTGGGACAATTATTATGTAAAATAAGGGTTGCTTGCACATAAGCTATGATACCAGTACAGTGGATATTACAGCTGAGGTGGCTCTTAAGTGGCAAGTGAATGGGGCATGTACATGGTGTATGTCTGTGTTGGAGAAAGGGATAACTCATTGGCCAGGTGGGTAAAGACAGCTCTGTATTAGATTTCCTTACACTGCACAACATGAGTAATTATGTTAAGCTAAACAGTATTTATGTGTACAGTTTCCCACAATATTTTCAGATCAGATCATGGTTAACAGCAAGTAGCTAAAATCACAAAAAGTAGAGCCACAAATAAGAGGTGACCATTACACTGGAATAATTGATTCTGTAAACATTGACATGAGTGCAGAAGATGTGTGCAGTGAGGCAGAACAAAGGTAGAGAAAAGAAGGTTCTGGAAAGGCAGCCTTAAGAGCACTATGGACCTTCTCCACAGCAGATCAACAGGACTGGAAAACACTGAAACTTTTTTTGAAATATTGAGAAATAAGTAAAATAAAGATATGCCATGTGCAGGAACCTAATAACCTCAATTAATATAAACACTGTATGCAATAACATGAGCTAAAATTAATAGTGTTGACAAGCATGAAAATGGCTTAGGGGAACTGTTGGAAGAAAAGAGAAGCAGGAAATGGGGAGAGGATTTAAAAAAAAGAGTCAACCTGTGGTATGTACATGTATCCTTTCCCCAAAATGACAGCAACCTGCATGAATTGTGACTACATACAAAGAAAACGAATTAAAATGAATAAAAAGAAAATTCAGTTGCACAAGCCGTACAGTGTTTAAAAACCACAGCAGATTAATTTAAAGACTCAAAATATAAACAGCTTGGTTCCATTGCTGCATCGTATCAATGCTTAAGGTGATAAGTGGTTCTGCATTTTAATTTTTAAACTGAACATCAAAATAGGCAATAAATTTGAAACTGTGAGATTTTCTTTAAAAACTAGAATTGGCCCTAAAAGAATATAGCAACAAAAAAATAGTTGTTCAAGAAAATCTACTAAGTTTTGCTAAGAAGAGCAAGAATTTGGCGTTTGAGCCATGACCCATTCCAATCCTCTCCTCCCAGATCAGCATTGTGCAAGTCTCGGGTGGGTCTGTGCAGCTGAAAGCACAGGCTCTCTGTCCCTCTCATCCCAGAGAAGGACCCTATGATATCAGCTCCTTGGAGGAGGCAAGCCACCAGCTTAGCACCTTTCTTAGCCTTTAATTGCAGAAACTGTCTTCTAGCAAGTAGTATGAGAGTCTGCCACCTCTTTCTTCAACTATTTCAAGTGTAGCAGGAAAAGAGTGAGGAGATCTGATCATCCTTGCCCAAGTTCACTTGAAGGACGAGATTTCAAATTGGGAGAGATAGGCCAAGAAGAACATCAGCTACCATCCTGGCCCAGCGTCCCATCCATATGCTTAAAGAGAAGTAGGGTACGGTTCCTCCATTGAGCTGTACAGACACAGCAGTGACGTGAGTCAGCTCAGAGCTCCAAGAAGAAGGTAAGAACAGAGTAGTCCCAATATGCAATATAATCTGCTTACACTACATGACTATTTGGAACAGAGTGTAGGGAAGTCCAAGCCAGAGGGCACTTTTGGAAACAATGGAGGTTGTGGTAATCAGCAATTATCAGGAGGTAAGGGTTTCAAAAGAGCAAGAAGCTAAACTCTAAACTATCTAGAAATTTATCACAAATAACCAGGAAAAACAATATCTAGAAGGATGTTTACTGGAGTTAGAACAAATTTCAGAGGAGACAAGGGGAGGATGTCTTGCAGATGGAAAGGGGTCCAGGAGACCCAGGGCGAGGGGTGAGGAGAGGCAGAAGGGGAACTAAGTAGAATAAAGATCTGCCATGTACAGTAGTCTCACAACCTCAATGAGTGTAAACACTGCATGGCATAAATATGAGCAAATATTAATGATGCCAAGGGGATGAAAATGGAAAAACAGGAATTAGAGGTGGAAGGATGGAGAGGGAAAGGTTGGGGGAAGAGATTAAAAAAAAAATACTTTGCATTATGTACAGGTACCCACACTCCAAAATGGTTATAAAATGTATGTGTTGGAAATACGTACCAAAATAAGAAATTTAAAAATACGGTAAAAAATAAATAGCCCTCCAAGATCACCCCTGCAAAGAGGCAGGTATTTAATTGGATCAGAACAATTCAAGCCCCAATTTAAGCACTAGAAATATCATGAGGCAATGAATGGGAACTAAAAACTGGTCATGATACCAACAATGGCAGACAGCATAAGAGAAGGAGACAGAGAAGGAGGGAGGGAGGGTAAGAAAGAGACAGAGAGAGACAGAGGTTATCAAAGACAAAAACCACTATCACTCCAGGGGTAACAGTGTCCTCTGAGGGATGACACGAGAGGCTGCACACTGTACGGTGAATAGATTTCATTAATGTAGTCCAATTAAGACAAATGAATAAGCAATAAAAATAAACCCAACAAACCCCAAAGATGGGAGATCAAGATCTATAGATACATCCAGTCTTCACACATACGTGCACACATACACACAAAATGATAACTTGTACAAAGAAACAGCTGTGCCTGACCCACTAAAAGAAAATAATGGTAGGTGAAAAGCTCTCTGTGAGAGTGATCATATATAGTACTTAACAGAAACATGCCTGAAAGACACTACTGCACTGAAAGGAACAGTTAGTGCCTCTGTTGTTTGATCAATTTTGCATGCCTATATCTTGCAATCTGAGACAGTACTTTGAAGGTAACAATATGCAATATAATAACCATTGTTAATTCTCTATCACCT